GGCGATGATGGGTGGGGGCCTGGGCGGCCTGCCGGGCATGGGTGGGATGGGGGGGCCGCTCCTGGGCGGGTTGCAGGGGCTGCAGCATTTGCAGGGCCTGCAGGGGCTGCAGGGGCTGCATGGCCTGCAAAATCTGCAGGCCATGCGTCAGGCGACGGCCATGCAGCAAGCCGTGCTGCAGCAGGCCGCGCTGCAGCGGGCGGTGCTCCAGCAGCAGCAGCAACAGCAGCAACAGCAGCAGCAGCAGCAGCACGCGGCAGCGCTCCAGGCGGCCGCCGCACGCATGCTGCAGGGCACGCCCCCGGGGTTTGCCGCTGCGGCGGCGGCGGCCGGGCTGGGCGGCGCGGGGTTCGGCGGGCTGCAGGCGTCGGTGATGGCGGGCGGTGGGCCGTTTGGGCAGGCGGCGACGCGCTTTGCGCCAGGCGCGGGCGGCGCGGGGCTGAATTTGGAGGACATGTTGGCGGAATTTGAGGGGATGATCTCTGCCGGCGCGGGCGGCGGCGCGGGCGGGAGCCTGAGCGGGAGCCTGGGTGGCAGCCTGGGCGGCGGCACGGGCAGCAGCGCGCAGCCGCTGCTCCCGCCGCCACCGCGGCTGCTCGGGCCGTCGGGCGCGGCCGGGCTGCCGCTCTCGCGGCCGCTGCTCAGTGGTGGGTGCCCGGGCTTGTTTGGGAGGGGTGGGGGCGGGGGGCTGGGGTGAGGTGCCAGCCGCAAGGCCTATGGATGCCACATTCCAAGAAGCCGTGTCCAGCTGTAGGGCTGCGCAGGCGGCGAGTCCGCGCACCCTCAAAGCATCCGTGCTGGCGCACATGCAATCCAGCTACGTGCTTCGTCTCCTCGGCGTGCCAGTCATCTGGAATCCACATCGCGACCGCCGTCGCTTCCTCTATGCACGCACCACCCACACACACACACACACACACACACACACATACATACACACACTTTCTTGCGCACACGCACACAATCCTTCCCCTTCATCAGGCTTCATCGCGGAGCGCTACGCCGCCGCAGGCCTCGCTCGCAAGCTGACGCCGCAGGACTTCGCTGCTCTCGAGAGCCAGGCCGGCTTCCCCGCAGAGCCCGCCGACCCCAGCGGCAGCGGCGGCGCAGGCGGCGCCGCCAGCGCGGGCGCGAGCGGCGGCGCCTCCGCGGGCGCGGGCGCTGCGGCGGCCGTGCGGATAAGCGAAGCACAGTGGCGGGACTTTGAGGGGCAGCTGCGGGCGGTGCTCAAGCTGCTGACTCAGATTGCGCCGGTGGGTCGCGGGGGCGGGCTTCGTGCTCCGGGCGCGGGATGCGGGCGAGGGTCTGGGGGCGACGCTGAAGGGTGGCTGATGTGCGGCCAGCGCGGGGCGGGGACACGGGGCCTGGACCCTCTTCCACCCAGCCCCCCGCTAGTGGCATTCGCGCTCGCGCTTTGCAGCGCTGTCGCACCCGTCAAAACCCCTCACCTCGTCAACGGGTTTCCCCAACCCTCTTGTCCCGTCAAGCACCCCCCTTGACATCTGACATCCCCTCCCCCCCCCCCACAAACCACCCCCTTGACGAACCCGCTCAAATCACCCTTCCAAACC